CGTGCTGATTTTTCACACAAGACAGAAATAAGAGAATCTATAACGTTCAACAAGAACCATGGCTGACCAAACTGTATGTATGGTACATTTCTTTCGTTGCAAAGGCGTAATACCTCGCATTGTAAAGTTATAGAGTTGTAATTATATGCCACAGGTACAGTACATTTGAATTCAAATGGCCATAATGGCGTCCATATTGTAGTTCCACGGTCTGATACATGTAACACCAAGGCCATTAGAAACGGCTTGGGGTTTTGTTATATCATACAGCATTGGACTACAGTTTTTTCCTTTACATAAACCCAAGGTGGTGTGTTAATTTATAAACTACACTTACCTTTTTTACGGGTTTTACACCTTAGCGCGTAACACGCCCCTTTGGTGTTATAATTAAACTACGACATTGGCTATTAGTATCGCGTTACAAATCGCATTCTACATTACGCCTTTGCTTCTAGTTTCACAATTTATGCATGTATCTTTCCGATCTTTATATCGCACTGATACACTTTAATTCCCTCCCCGCCCACCTCAGAAATTACAGTCTTTTTTACAGACCTTCAAACTGTGTACTGGTTGTTCTGCTACCATTCCCCCCCCAAGACCGGCACGCCTGAAATGTCTGGTGGAGGACGGGCATGATGATGGGTCATGCCCTATATGCATTGCCTTTACCCCCCCGGGCCCAAAAGTAGAGACAAGTTGACTTGCTTCTCTTTAAAGGTCTCTTAAAGGCGGGGGTAGATATCAGATCTGCTAAGACCAACCCCCCCCAATCTATAAAGGGTAAAAAGAGTAAAAAAACTGCCGAGACTGTCTCCTCCGCTCCCTCTCCGGGGGCCGGGGGAGAAGGCTCGAGGGTCCCCGTAGTACGCACTGCACCCTCTCCTGCACCGTCTTTGGCAGACGTTTCTGCGTTACTTAAGTCGCAGATGGCGTCGATGATGGAGGAGGTGAAGTCTCAGTCTTGCGGGCTGTCTTCGAGACCTTGTGATATGCCCGGCGTCGGCCGAGGCAGGCCACTTGGTCTCGGGGACGATCCGAGACCGGGCTTCGGCTCCGGCTCGAGGTCGCTCCCCAGCGGAGGGGTGGCGGGCGCTGGCCCGTGCACTACCGACGCACAATTTTCCCTAGCATCCCCTTCCGACATCGTCTGCTTCATCTCTCGGGGAAGAGTCGATTAACTTCGGCTCGGAATCGAGAGAGGAGGAGTGGATGGAGGAATGGGGGGGAGGACTCGGAGACCTCGGTGACGTTTTCCTTCGCTGCCTCGTTGAGGCAAGTGCGGGACAGGATTTTCCAGGTACTGCCTCAGGTGGCTGCACCCACGCCAGAGTCGGATCCGACTGAGTTCCGCCTTCTGGGGGACGTTTTTGCTCCTAGCAAGGTGCCCCAGGTGCGGCTCCGTGTTCTATCCTCCCTGGTGCATGAAATTATCAACCCTCTGTTGTCGGGTGCCCGCAGGAAGTTCGACCTGCCCCAACTTATTAAGCGGTACCCGCTTGCAGAGGATGGTGACTTTGAGGTACCTGTGGTGGATGAATGCGTTTGGACTTCCGTTACCCTGTGGGGGTCTTTGACCCCCAACTTGACTAAGGTCAAGCAGGGCCGGCGGTTGCCCCCCTTTCCGGCGTGCGGTGCGGAGTTGAAGGCCGCTTACATATGCTTCGAGGAGCAATATCGTAATGCATGCCAACAGCTCCGTGTGTCCGTACACTCCGCGTATCTGTCAGCTGTACAGAGGGAGTTAGCGGTGGGGGGGGCGGCCGACTCTTCGGAGTTGGCCGTGCATCTTACAGAAGTTCACAGTCATCTTGCGCGGGACGCTATTCGTAGCTGTGCCTCGCAGATGATGTGCGCTGTTATGGGCATGCGCAGGCTGTGGATGTAGGTATCTAAATATTGACTTCCACACGCCAAGACCTCCTTGCTTTGCCGTATAAGATGGGTGCCACCCTCTTCCCTGGGGCTCACCAGGTGGTCAGAGAGGCCGCTCAATTGTATGCTTCCATCAAGGACTCTAAGGCCTTGTTGGAGGTACCAAGCGTTAAACCGCGTAAGTGGACCTCTCCACTTGACTCCTCCTACGCTGACGCGCCGGGTCAGAAGTCCACACCTGCTTGGAAGCAGCCGCTTCCTTCAGGTAAGGGCGCCGGGAGGAGCAAGAGAGGCAGGGGCGGGGGCAAGGCAGCTGGTCGAGGCCAGCAGCCTTTTCGCGGGGCCGGGAACCCATCGGATTCCCATTAACGCCCGAAGAGACCCGGGTGAACCAACAGTCGCAAGTTATCGAACTGCCGACAGCCGGGATCCACTGCCTCAAGCCGGATGTCCCCGTAGGCGGCCGACTGGCTCTATTCCTGAAGGAATGGGAGACAGTCACATCCAATCCCTGGACCCTGTCCACTGTAAGGGATGGCCATTTGCCTCGGTGGAAACATCATCCGCCCCCCTTCTCCAGGATAAAGCACACTCCGGTGCCTGCTACCCGAGAGAAGGCGGAATTCCTCCGTGATGTCTGCAGGACCCTCAATGCCTATATCAGCAGAACTAAGTGTATCCGTAAGGATAACCAACTATTTTGCTGTTATGGCGGTAGGAAGGCTGGCTTACCTGCGAGCAAACAATCTATCTCAAGGTGGATAGTTTCAACCATTTGTACAGCGTATACGCTTCAAGGCAGGGACCCCCCTACCAGGTTGAAGGCTCATTCGGTTAGAGCAGTGGCTACGTCACAAGCATACGCCGCAGCTCTGCCCATTGAGGAGATCTGCTCCGCGGCTATTTGGAGCCAGCCGAGCACGTTCATCAAACATTACAAACTCGACAAACACTCAAGCGAGCGTGCTCGGTTTGGTCAGTCAGTTCTCCGAACTGGGCAAAGTTCTACATCTCTAGCCGATTGAGCCTTCGAGATTTTAGACCATCCTCCGGTTATACTGCTCAGTAATGGTCCGGATTTTATCTTCTGCGGTCGATAAATATCAGTCCTTACAACTCGATAATATTCGTATTTGCACACGCACTCCTTCGATCCTCGGGGACCCTCTGGCCTAGCTCAGCGTGGGGTTATAGTCTCTCGTGATCTATGCCCCTATATCACTTGTTCAAAAAAGTGTGTGTGTGTGGGGGGGTGGGTGGGGGGTGAGGGGTGTTTCGAGTTCTCAACTTATGACAAGCCACAAAAACAGGCTTTATCATAATATATGGTCGACCACGCCCTGTCTCTAGCCCCCGCCTTTCGACGGTGGTGCCTCACGATAAGGTTGGTTCCATTTATTGAACTTATATTTTATTCTGTATGAATAATCAAATACGATGTATTTATTTACACCTGTTGCTGATGGATGCCACTTCCTATATTATCTTTAGGAGTCTATCTTGATGCAATAGGTGCCCCAAGGAGGATTTAATCTGAAAGAGAATTTTACAAACCTGTAGAGGTAATAAATTCTCTGATGAAATCCTCCTTGGGGCACGGCCACCCACCTCCCCACATTCCGTCAGCATTAGACATATGGAAAGTGATTTGGGTGAGAGTTGCTCCCCCTGGCGTGACGCGCCGTGGAGGGTGAGGCCCCGTAAGGGTGGTCGTATATCAACAAAAACGAAGTTTTTTGTGTGGTAACATTTTTTATTAAGGAAAATGGTTACAACTATGTCATGAGGATTTTCTTGAGCAAGGAAAATGCAATAGGTGCCCCAAGGAGGATTTCATCAGAGAATTCATAACCTCTACAGGTTTGTAAAAGTTTTAGGGTAAATGTAAACAATGTCTCAGGTAATGACCGGGGTTGGGTACTATGCTGCTTTTAGGACAATTCTAACAATATCACTGAAAGGGACACCAGAAATGAGCATCAAATATTGTACCTCAATCCTTTGGCATGAGGTGTGAATACTCAAACCACTAGGCTACCCCACCACCCTTTGGCAAGTTTGGCAAGTCTATGTATTTTTATGTAGATCATAAACACATACCAGTCCTTAAAGAATTCCAGAGTGAAAATTTTGTAATTTGAGAAAATGAATTAGTATGATAATCATCAAAGCATTACGACCTTGTGTATTACTTGTCAAAAGTTCCTATGTGTAACTGATAAATTCATTTGACATTAAGACATAAATTTGTATTCGTTCTTGTAATGATCAATACACAAAGACAATGCTGACAAAACAATGTTGACAAACATCAGCCACATGATTGGGGGAGAATTCAAGACTTGCACAATAGAACTGATGTATAAATGTGTTTGTGTGTTGTTGAAAGCCTCACACGGCAATATTCCAGCTACATGTATATGACGGCGTCAGCGAACCTGACCACACAATCCCATCTGTCGCCTCTAATGACAAGCATTGTCCCCTCTTACGGCAAGCATGGGATGCTGAGGACCAATTCTAACCAGGATCTTCACAGGTAAATGCATTGATGTACAATTTGGGGAAGATGTAAAACAAGAGCAAAATGTATAACTTGGGGAAATATACAACCTGGGGAAAATGTATAACTTAGGGGAAATATACAACCTGGGGAAAATGTACAACTTGGGGGAAATATACAACTTGGGAAAAACAACAAAGTCATCCTTCAACATTAACTTCAGTTATCCTCACCCAAAAGACTTAGAAAATTTCATTTTGATGTGTTGTATTTGATAAAAACCTGCAATGAGGCTTTGCACTATCATTACCGCAAAACCAAATGATCTGATCTGGAACAGTTGGGCTGGTAGATTTCAGAATTACTGTCCTGTTTTCAATACATTGAAAAATGTCAAAAATGCATGTTTCATCCCAAATATCAAGACAGAAAGTATATATTTGTTAAGTCACATTCAGAATTGGACATCATATTTTCACAGACCCCCTTAAGGGACTGATTTGTTCTGAATATTATATCTGTATTTTTTACTTGATATTTTAATAGTATCAATTTTACATTAATATCTGGAATGATTGATCTGATAAAACAGTGATTTAGTTACAAACAGTATCTGTACCTTCTTTGGATTTCCATACTTGGCACACATGAGGCTAAGGATGCCTGACCCAGAACCCACATCCAGAACTACCTGTTGGCAGAAGAATGCAAGTAGTAACTTCAACCTGACAACACTCACACTTGGCACACGAGAGGCAGAGCAGACACACAAGGGGCAGGTGGGAAGGATGATGGCATACCAGGCACCTGTGGGAAGGATGATGGCATACCAGGCGCCTGTGGGAAGGATGATGGCATACCAGGCACCTGTGGGAAAGATGACGGCATACCAGGCACCTGTGGGAAGGATGATGGCATACCAGGCACCTGTGGGAAGGATGATGGCATACCAGGAGCCTGTGGGAAGGATGATGGCATACCAGGCGCCTGTGGGAAAGATGATGGCATACCAGGTACAGGTTGGAAGGATGACATCATACCAAGCACCTGTGGGAAGGATGACGTCATACCAGGTGCCTATGGGGAGGATGACATCATACCAGGCACCTTAGGGGAGGATGACGTCATACCAAGTGGGAATGGTGTTACAGGCCTTGTCTTAATGGGGGCGGGTGCTCCTGTTGCAGGAGGCAGCAGGAGGACTGGAAGGTAGTCCTAGTTGACAAACACAGGCCTTGTGTATGGCACAGTCACAGTCATGTGCAACTGTAAATACAGATTATCGGAGACAAAGTTTCACAGGTGAAAACTATCATCATCCGACTCCTGGCATTCCTGGAAACATTCCTCTAAGAAACATGACATCATACCAAGCACCTGTGGGAGGGATGATGTCTTACCAGGTGCAGGTGGGAAGGATGACATCATACCAGGTGCCCTTGGGAAGGATGATGTCTTACCATGTGCAGGTGGGAAGGATGACATCATACCAGGTGCCTATGGGAAGGATGACATCATACCAAGTACCTGTGGGAAGGATGATGTCTTACCAGGTGCAGGTGGGAAGGATGACATCATACCAGGTGCCTATGGGAAGGATGACATCATACCAAGCACCTGTGGGAAGGACGATGTCATACCAGGCACCTAAGGGAAGGATGACATCATACCAGGCACCTAAGAGAAGGATGATATCATACCAGGCACCTAAGAGAAGGATGACGACATACCAGGCACCTAAGGGAAGTATGACATCATACCAGGCACCTAAGGGAAGGATGACATCATACCAGGCACCTAAGGGAAGGATGACATCATACCAGGCACCTAAGGGAAGGATGACATCATACCAGGCACCTGTGCTGAGGATGACATCATACCAGGCACCTAAGGGAAGGATGATGTCATACAAGGTGCAGGTGGGAAGGATGACATCATACCAGGCACCTAGGGGAAGGATGACATCATACCAGGCACCTAGAGGAAGGATGACGTCATACCAGGCACCTAAGGGAAGGATGATGTCATACAAGGTGCAGGTGGGAAGGATGACATCATACCAGGCACCTAAGGGAAGGATGACATCATACCAGGCACCTAGGGGAAGGATGACATCATACCAGGCACCTAAGGGAAGGATGATGTCATACAAGGTGCAGGTGGGAAGGATGACATCATACCAGGCACCTAAGGGAAGGATGACATCATACCAGGCACCTAAGGGAAGGATGACATCATACCAAGCACCTGTGGGAAGGATGACATCATACCAAGCACCTGTGGGAAGGATGATGTCATACAAGGTGCAGGTGGGAAGGATGACATCATACCAGGCACCTGTGCTAAGGATGACATCATACCAGGCACCTGTGGGAAGGATGATGTCATACAAGGTGCAGGTGGGAAGGATGACATCATACCAGGCACCTAAGGGAAGGATGACATCATACCAGGCACCTAAGGGAAGGATGACATCATACCAAGCACCTGTGGGAAGGATGACATCATACCAAGCACCTGTGGGAAGGATGATGTCATACAAGGTGCAGGTGGGAAGGATGACATCATACCAGGCACCTAGGGGAAGGATGACATCATACCAGGCACCTAGAGGAAGGATGACGTCATACCAGGCGCAGGTGGGAAGGATGACGTAATACCAGTTGGGAATGATGTTACAGGCCTTGTCTTAATTGGGGCGGGTGCTCCTGTTGCAGGAGTGAGTGAGTGAGTATGGTTTTAAGCCGCTTTTAGCAATATTCCAGCAATATCACGGCGGGGGACACCAGAAATGGGCTTCACACATTGTACCCATGTCGGGAATCGAACCCGGGTCTTCGGCGTGACGAGCGAACGCTTTAACCACTAGGCTACCCGACCGCCCCCTGTTGCAGGAGGCAGCAGGAGGACTGGAAGGTAGTCCTAGTTGACAAACACAGGCCTCGTGTATGGCACAGTCACAGTCATGTGCAACTGTAAACACAGATTATCAGAGACAAAGTTTCACGGGTGAAAACTGTCATCATCCGACTCCTGGCATTCCTGGAAACATTCCTCTAAGAAACACAAGGCAAGGAAACACGAGGCTGCGAAACAATAGTCTGGACAGGTCCTGAGGTCTGCAATAAACTTTCCATGTCAACAAGAGTCATCAGGAGATGACATATTTCCTGGTCCTGTGCAATCCTGTGCAAATTTGGCTACTTATAACCCACTTTAGGGTCATTGCCATTGGATACCTTCAGTTCAGTGAAGAAAAAAATTAATGCTATTCAGTATTTATCATTATTATGCATCAAAGTGAGTTTGACCAATCAGAGAGCAGAACTACTTACCCCATGTGAGCCTGTATACCATCAGTAAAAATCCGAGATGGTTGTTACTGACCTAATATGAGACCGTAGACTGTCAGTAACAGCCATTTGGGAGTTTCCAACACCCACCTCACTTATTTCACATGAAAATTCTGATACAGAAATTCATAGTCATTCGACACTGTTTTGTGTTTAAATATCATAAATTTTGATGTGCAAGGACATTAATGTTTTTTTTTTATCATGTTCGTGACCTTGATAAAGATTATACAAAGTTAAAATAATCAACAAGGTTTGGCCTCTGAGGTTTGAAGAGTAGTCTCCCTTTGACCCTTAATGTCTTAGGTTGTAAGTGTTGTTTTGAGCTTTAAGTTTTGACATGACATGTACGACAAAGATACCAAATAGTGTCAACTTTTCGGCATAATAAAATTGTTATGGTGTCATATCAGGTTAGCATAAAAATATTCACCACAAGACTGATGTGCATAGCAATTTTCATCCAGAATTTCTGCGCCGGTAATTGATGGCTGATGGATGGACATGGTGATCGCTATATCCCCAGCGCCCCCGAAAGGAACAAGTGGGTGGAGCAACAATCTTCTAAACATGGTATCTTACATTCAATGAAAGAGATACAATATTGGTAATATCACCTACATCTCTGTATAAGAAATGCAGTAAAACATATAAATACACAGATCAGCGTGACGAGCAGACATACAAGAAAATGAAACATACATAATGTGAATGCAAGTAAAAATGAAAATAACTTATGGCTTTCAAAGAATGAAGGAAATTGCATACTGTCATCTCGGGATTTTGTCTAATAGGAATAACTGAGTGACTTCACTCTGACAACACTGACGCGCCACTTGACCTGAAATACTTTATCTGAAATAAGTCGATATACAGCAGTTCCAACATATGACTATTGTTCAAGCATAGGAGGCTCTCAGGCCACTTGGCACTACTGTTATCTGAAGAGTGAGTGAGTGAGTGAGTGAGTGAGTGAGTGAGTGAGTGAGTGAGTGAGTGGGTGAGTGAGTGGGTGAGTGAGTGAGAGAGAGGGAGAGTGAGTGAGTGAGAGAGAGAGGGAGAGTGAGTGAGTGAGAGTGAGTGAGTGAGTGAGTGAGTGAGTGAGTGAGTGACATTGTATCCTGACGACCTGTAAATCAACAATGGATGAGGACAACTGTTGTGATCCTTCAACCAGGGGTTGAAGGTATTAGGATGAAAAGCAATCAGCCCACTCTCTGACCATCTGGTCCTCTTTAGGGGCCAGTTCAAAAGTTTGATGTCCGATAAAAAACTTAATTCCTTAAGTTTTAAGACATACCCCCTAATCCTCAACATAATTCTGAAAATGTTGAATTTCTGGGTTTAGTGGCCTGGAACGGCATATGAATGGAAACAGGATCTGTTCAGTCCCGTTACTATATAAGACAATGAGAAATCCGTTAAGTTGATTTTGTCTGATGGAAAACATGTAGGGCCATTAACCCCACCCCACAGACCTCTCACACAGACACACCTGAACTAAAGGAATTATTTTTTTATCCAACATCGAACTTTTGAACTGCTCCCTTAGACAGTATAGGGTAATGGAGGCCTGTTTTGATCTAAAATTGCCATGGTACGGCGTGGTCAAGATTAGGATTTTGTCAAAATGACTCAAACATATGATAAACATTTGCAAAATGTGCTTCATTTATCAGTATGTCAATCATGACATTAGACATATAAACAAGCAGTTCAAAAATGTCCAACTGACCTTATCTTTAAGGTGCTCTGCATTCCTCTGGATTGCCTTTTGGTAACACAAGTTTCTTGGACGGTCGCTGAGCATTTCATGATGAAGTTTCTACAACAGGTGTGCAGATTATAGTTCATAGTGTATCAGAGTGGTAGTTCAGATTACACAGATTAAAAAATGATATCATTTTCTTTTTCAGGTAAACATGTAACAATGATCAGTATTGTTACCCTCAATCAGTAAACCAATCTTTCATTATAATCATCAAGGTCTTGCTATTTTCTGCATCTCTACTAAAATGATTGTTATTTCTAAAAGGAATGTTCTAAAATGGACTACATCTTGGCCTTAATCATATAATAACTCTGGCTTTAAATACTCTGATGCCACATAAAAAAAATTCTTACCAGGCTACCATAGTTACCAAAATATTCCTGATCTTGCCAGAATATTTCTTGTGTTGATGTGTAAGTCAAATGATTGACAGGTACGTATCCTTGGCAGCCATCCTTCTCTCCCCACCACCAGTGACCATTAGTTTTCTTGAGAATACAGATCTTATCGCCAGTTACGAAAGACAGCTGTAAATGACAAGATGTAGTTCATTTGTACCAAGTGAACTTCCAGGTATCTAACAATCAGTACCTGTATTCAAGGTATTAACACCTGCTGATGAGAAAACACTAAACCTGGTTGATACACCTGAATAGCTGTATAGCTATATCTCATGCAACATGTCCCTTAGGGGAGTGGTCGTTTATTATGTAGGGCAGGAGTGGTGTCAGGAAGGCATCATATTTTCGCTGACACCTTTTTATAAGACTCCCCCTCCCCTATAATACATGACCAGTCCCTTCAGCATTTGTAAAGAGCAGAACATTTTGTTTTAATCCTTTATTCAAAGTTTGATTTCTGATTCTTCAACATTCCAAGAAAAGCAAAAAAGGTGAAACATATATTATAAAACAGTGAGTAACTGAGTTGGGTTAAACACAGCTTAAACATGTTAAACATTATTCCAGTTATATCATGGCGTGTCTGCTTAATGTGGGAGGAAAGCCCAACGTGATGCAGGTCTCAGACATTTACCACTTTGGTGAGCACGGGTATGAACCAAGTTCATAATCGGGGCAAAACTGGGATTCAAACCCACGATAATAGCTTTATGGCTTGCCAAAGGGACACAACTCTGCACGGTGAATTGTGGTGCTGGGCCACCTGTGACCCCTCCAAAGAAATAAACACTTGCGGATACTATTATGACTAAATGATCCAATTCAGTGAGTGTAAGAGGGAGAGAGATATACACGCAAGTGTCCTTGTCAAACCTAGGGAACACCAGATCACCCAAATGACCATGGTGACCCATTGTTAAACAAATGTATTAATATGTGCCTCAAACTTATTTGAAATGTTTGGGTGCTCTGGTTTCAAATGTGTTTTTCTGTACCAGCGACAGTGCCTCCACTCGAGTATTGATACACATGGGCAGAGACCATATATCGGTATATGGTCTCTGACATGGGTAACACTATAAAGTAGATCGGCAACAAACTAGTCTCATGGTCACTGAAAAATGTACAATTTATTACCTCCTCGTTCACGAATACAATGTACTAGCCTAATTACTCCCTTGTTCACAAGTACCATTAGTTACCTGGTCACGACCAAGTCCTTTGAAATTGGACAAGGCGTAAACAAGATCTGAAATCTGACATTCTGTTTCGTTTTCTACATCTTGTTGTTCTAGCGACCCGCCTTCCATGTGGCTTGATGAGTATTTTGTATTTTTGCGAAGTCTAAGGGAGGTAACTCTAATGTTGAACGTTTACATGCGTCCCACACACCGCCCCATAGTAGAACAAAGCAAACTAAGATTTTCTCCATGTTTTTGTATCCAACAGACTTAAAAATGATGGTTGTTGTCAAATGTTTTGGTAGCAGATACTGCTTTTGGTTCAAAATGCTCATTTCTGTTGTAAAAATGGAGAAATATGGTGGTGTATGCATTGAGTCCTTATTTTTTTTATCAATTATGTTATAGTTTACACATAGTAGACTTGAATTGTTATTATTATTTTTAATATAGCCTCTCACAAATTGAGTTATAAGTAAAAATAAGCCAAACATTGGTAAATTTCGCTCTATTTTCAGGGTTGGCCGCTGCTCCTGTCTCGAGATCAGGTCTAGAAATTCACATTCACATATGACCCTTTGGTGAAACGTCCGGGAGAATGGTACTAAATAATGTTTCAACTATGATGTGTGTTCTTGTATTATTTAGGATAAATTAAGTGCCATTTACATGTATGACCTATTCTAACCCGGATCTTCACGGGTGTGGTGACATGCAATCGGCCAAAATTGTAATGCTGATGTCTTAATAGATTTAATGAACTCCATTATGTCTAAAATATTTATCAGAAAATGATATTACGCCAAATATTGATTTGAAGGAGCAAAACACCTACTATGTCTTGTCGCCGTGTATATAGGCAAATATGTTTGCGCATGCCTTCGTCTGCGAGCTTGCTTGTGATTATCATTAATAACGTGGTCCTGTGAACCCAGCTAACACACGACGTTGTGGAAAGGTTGTGGATTGGTAACGTCGTGAAATAACGTTGTCACAACGTTATTATAACGTCAACGTGCAACGTTATTTCACAACGTTATAACAACGTTGCACATTCACGTTGTGAAAACGTTGTGCATCGGACATCGCACAACGTTTTGTAACTACGTTTCTGAAACGTCGGTGAAACGTTATAAAGTTTGCTTCTTGATAGTCATAAAGGAATAGAACTGATTTATCAAAATCAACATGAATTTGTCAGAATACCAAGGCAGTAATGCATTACCTTTCTGTATATTCGGCATTTGAATTTTTATCTCTTAATACTAAAATTTCCAGAACGTAATTGCGTATCTCTATTACAACGTTAGTATTACGTTACATTGTAACGTTATTCCACAACGTAACAACAACGTTGCAAATTAACGTTGTGATAACGTTATGCTTTGGACATTACAACACTTTTTGTAAATGATGTTTAGGAAACCACTTGTAGATCTACCATCTCGTAGTTTTATTTTTTTTAAACATATATATCTATGAACGAAGTTATCTGTCTACTAAATGTTGTCTAAAGCAAAATTACAGTTAAAAACACATTGGCGCGCATTTTTTGCGGCGTGAGAGCGACTGCTGAAAAGTTTAGCCTGTTACCTCGTGAAGTGACGTCAAAATGACGTCACATTGTCGCGGAAGATTTGTTGTCACCAGCCATCTTAGTTCAAACTCACTCTGGATATATTACAACCAAGTGATTGTGCAGCAACGGGAACTGGACAGATGATCTGTGAATTCGGATAAGGTAAGTTATTTTTCAAAAGCAGTCTCCGCTTGTTGATATGTTTCTGTACATGCAGATCGTCAAATGATTTAAATGTATCGTATTATTCAGAAGTGGCGGGGTTTAGAATGCAGTTTGCCGGTCACTTTCACTGAGCTGAGCGTCAGTGTTGATAGTAATATTTGATACACAGAACGTGATGTATATAGAGGTGAAGGAAGCCCATGACTTTTTACCATATTATTATTTTTGTGGATACCAAGGGTAATTACCAAGGGCAAGCAGTAGGTATATGTTGGACCAGAATTCAGTCTGGCGGCGTTTTGTGGTCGTCATATTATGTTCGGGTTTCGATCGTAAGCGTAGATCTATAGGTCTGTAGGCCTAAATAGGCCTAACGTATGCATCGCCTATTGACCACTGACAGTTATCGCCATTTCTTCCGTGTTATTTCTGAATTCTGAAAGTTTACATTCTGACTTTGATTTTTGTGAAACAATGTGGCTCATTCAGGCCATGGGAAAGGTTGAGTAGATTTCTCTTATACAGCGAAGAGAGGGAATCAAAACAATGGAAGTATTTTCAGATCGACTCTCTGTATGCTGCTAGTTATAGCCCTAGTCTAAAGGGCTCAATGATGTTATGAAAAATTGTATTTTCGGGAAGACACAGAAACATACTTGTTGTTCCCGAAAAGACCCAATTAGCACTGACTGAAGTAGCCTAAATGTGGATCATATGGTTGTTGGTGCTGTCTATAAAGTTTGTTTGAGCAAGGCGCTTATCATGTGTATTTTTAATATTTCCAAAAAAAAGAATCAATTCATCATTTTCCGATTACTAGATCTATGTCCGACTCCCTTCTAATGAAAACGAGCAAAAGTAAAACGAGTCTCGTCGCGCGCTATAACGGGGTGTTTGCGGTATTGTTCTCACTGGTGATGATAAGCTAGTTGATAATCAAAAGTTAAATATCACCATACATTGTCAGTGATTTGGTCATCGTTTGTTGATTATTAAGGTGAGATAGGTGTAGATCTAGTCAATGTGCACCAATGAAAAATACAATGGAATTGATAGCAACCATATTCGTTCGGTTTTCGATCTCCGTATGTTGCCAGGTAGGCTACCATACTATAGAATTATATTTAACGGTATTGAACTGTATAATGTTAATAAACGTAGTAAGTATATGATACTTGGTTCTCTGAAACGTTTTGGCAATGAGAGAGAATAAAATGGTGATCGAAAACTGAACGAGTAAGTTCCAGTGCTAGCTACGAAATCGTACTGTAGCTAGATCTATATAAACAGCGCTGCGATGAAGATGTGAGTCGTAATTAGCTACAATGCCTGTCAAATATATCTGTTCCCGTTTGGATTCCGGTTTAGAAAAGGTCCCCAACAAACCATGTTTGTACTAACATGATTGCGTGTCATTGTACTCTGACAGAGGTTGTGAGACGTGGCTCACTATAACAATCACTGGTTTGTCAGACCTGTGTATATGTAAAACCAAATTACATTAGGTGTTTTTTTTATGATGGTACTCATAATTTTGTTACTTATATCTGTAGCCTGAGTTTATTTCCGATCGGACCTTATACATGAAGACTTTAGATTTACAGTTTTCCTAAATTTTAGGCAATTATACAATGTATGTTATCTTTTTGTTTAGACTACAGATCTAAATGTATGCTTATTGAATATAGTTTTAGTTTTGACTTTTTAAATATGTTTTCGTTGCAGCAAGGGGGAAAATGTTACACGACCATTCCAGGAGATAAAATCAAGAATGTTGAATCATTTAGGAACACACCAAATAAACCCTGGTCTGTGAATTATGTTAACGTAAGTACAATTGTTTACGGTTACATTTCATTGTCTATATCCATGTTAATTGGTGGGGTTTTTTTTGCTTGAAATGAATGCTAAGAATGTAGATCTATTTATAAAAATCTATGCTCGTAACACGTTTTGTATTCAACCTGATTCTTGATGTCTCTGATTGAATGTTAAAATTTGTTTCCATCAGTCACTTGAATTATACATTATAGTTTGAATATTGATAAAACCTTATCTCCAAATGAATGTTTCTCGTCATATGAAATCTTTCATATACCTGCTCGAGATTGATTAAGCTGTTTGTATTTCAGGGAAGTGGAAGTGAACACCAAAGAAAGAAGATTCTGGCATTCAATAATTTCGAAAAGTGTATACATTTTCTATAATCTAAAAATAATAAAATGTCAACGCAAATGTGTCTTGGAGTTCTTTGTTGAATGGTGACTTCGCATGACTGAAAGTTGAAGTATACTATATGGACTAGATTAGAGACCGACCATTTAATATTCAAGGAGGTGGGGACCTGGAACTTTTCTATGGAGATTACATATGTGTTCGGTCACAGCTACAAAAGCAGATATATGATTTTCTTTAACTCTTTGAGCCTGAAGATAAGCACCTTGCATCTAGATCTATGTCATTTTTTCACCAGTCTGAACCGTAATTATTTTTGTCAAGAATTTTCGGTGACAATATATTTTTTTGATAATATTCCAGGACCCGACCCTCCCCAGAAAATATCACATGGTCAACCCCTTACAATGTCTGCCATTCTTTTTTTTGGTTTCTTTCAGTAGCCTAAAGGGTAATGGTGTCTGACTTTGTTATAGTCAAATCATGTATCTAGTTAACAGCTCAGTGGTGTTTTTACATTTTGAACATTGTTAGCAAAACACGATCTAACTCACTGTTAACCGGGCTATTCGACGCCCTGGTTTGAAAATATTGGTAAAGGTATCTCGAATCATACACATTCACGTGACTAAAGCATATTCTAAAACATTTCCGGAACAAGTTTTGGGGTTGTTTTTACAACATTTTAGTGTGGAATGGTCACAACCGTATTTCATCCTTGTAACACAAAGTTATTTCACGTCGTTGTGACAACGTCCATGGTAGTACACAGAATAACTTTGTAGGGACGCATTATTATAACATTGCCACAACGTCAAATACAACATAACCACAACGTCAAATACAACGTTCCCTCAACGTAAAAATACAACGTTCCCACAACGTAACATACAACGCCATCACAACGTTGTGACGACGTGAATATGACGTAACACAACGTTAGGCCATGACGTTGTGACAACATAAATGGGAGTCCACAGAATAACGTTATATGGACGTAACATCCGCAACGTTACCACAACGTAAACACGACGTTATCACAACGTTCCCACAACGTAAAATACAACGTCATCACAACGTTGTGACGACGTGAATATGACGTAACACAACGTTAGGCCATGACGTTGTGACAACATAAATGGGAGTCCACAGAATAACGTTATATGGACGTAACATCCGCAACGTTGCCACAACGTTGCCACAACGTTGTCACGACGTTGTCACAACGTGAAATTGTTAGCTGGGAAAGGACTAACTCACACGAGCGTCTCAGCGTTGCGACGTTGACTATCGTATGCGAGGTACAGTAGGCGAAGCGCTGAGATCGCTTTCTGCGGGGTGTCATTTGCGTCTCTCTGTTTTGGAGTGGATATAAACAGAACAACCTGTACAGATCTACACAGATATACAGACCCGATGCCGCGCGGTGACTACTGTGACTACTAACACTTGTGTACATGCCCTCCATGTAGACCCACCAGTGCGACTTACACTGCTGAGAGCGAATGTCGAGGTCACTGCACTAAGTTTATTCACACACGGTTCTTTTTCTTTTTGTCAATTCAATATCCGATTTTTTTATTCATATTGAGGCTCTTTTTTTCAAGAACACAACGTTCAAAACTCTGCACTAAGTAAATGGACATCCGTGTTATAAAGGGGACATTTTCACCTCACAACCGATTAAGTGAGTTATACAATTTAGGTGTTGTTCGAAAAACGATAACAAATTACGTCTTGGTTGATGACACTTAAACGTAAATAATCTGTTTTGGATGTTTGTTGAACCGGGGTGCAAATACACACGGCAATAGTTGTTGATGACTACATGCATGGTTGATCGATCGTTGAGTCTCAATAGAACCAAGTGGTAGTTCCCATGGGTGCATGCCCTTTACAGATCACTGGAAGCACACACTCATTATGGCGCCGATGTATGGACACTGTGTGTTCCTGAATATTTAAATGATTGTAGAATGCTAGGAACACGATACCTGAAACGACTGAAGGGAAACTGTTTGGCTACACTTGAATAAGGTAGTTAATTAATCATTGGCAATATCATGAAAATATTAGTACTGACAAATAATACGGGAGCAAATGATTTGAATGTCGCTATCGTTGAGGTGTACGTGCATGGCTGCATCTGAACACAACATCTAATCACAAAGCAATGTCACATCATGCATGAACAGCATGTGATGCAATTGCACACAGAAGCCAAGGTGTGCAATTGAACAAAACACACGCCTCAATATGCCTCCGAGACACTATCTCATTGAACAGACAAAATTACGAATTGTGGGTACAATAATCAATATCCTGAGATGACCGAATTTCAACATCAATACGTTTGGTTAAAACTCCGCTTTATGAAGCCCGCATGAAAGCAAGGGTGTGACTCCAACAGCTAAATCACAGACGACAAAGATTGGGGTGGGTTAGGCAACAACAGGGACGGGCTATGCGTTACATCATGTTTACAGACGAATCAAGGTTTTGCCTCAGATTCACAGATGGCAGAAAACGTGGTTGGCGACGTAGCGGTGAGCGGTTTGCCAGGGCAACAATTCTGGGCCATAATCGGTATTTGGACAGTAGTGTCATGGTGTGGGGCGGTGTCACGCACGGCAGGCGAACTGATTTGTTTGTTGTGAATGGACATGTGACTGGCCAGCCTGTCCATTCACAGAATTATCAGCAGACATTTTGAACTGCAAGATGACAATGTCAGACCACATATAGTGCCCAGGTCATCACCGATTATCTCCGACGAGAAGTCACACGGACATTGGACTGGCCCGCTAAGTCCCTGACATTCCCCCAACAAAGAATCTGTGGGATGTTATCGTCAATTCACCAGTTCCTTATTTTCTTCGGTAGTATTTTTTAGCCACGTGAAATCTCAAATATCGTTTGATATCGCCATTTTGTGAATGTACTTCTGTCAACAATGAGTCCAATGCCTTGGGTAACGTAGCCTGCTTATGTTTTGTTTACGTAATGATCAAGCGTAACCTGATTAAAAGAAAGACAATAGACGTAATACAAATCCTAATAAGGTGAGTCATTTAACGAATCTCATCACGTACAGTTAGGCTTTTGGTGCAATTATTGAAAACATGGGAACAGTAGTAATAAGCAGATAGTTGAGTGCAAATCCATACTCTCAGATAAGATGGGGGGCCCATTCGTCTTAGGCTCCGCAATTCGCTGTGCAGAGTTGCGTTTCATGGACTTTCTAGACACCTATGATCGTGGGTTCGAATCCCGGTTCGCCCCGATTATGTTTCTAGGTTTGTCAACACCATACCCGTGCTCGTGGGTTTCACCAAAGTGGTAAACGTCTGAGACCTGCATCACTTCGGGCTTTCCTCCCATATTAAACTGACACGCCTTGATATAAGTGGAATACTGTTTAAAAGCGGCGTTAGACCCAACTCACTCACTCAAGACCACAATCATCGTGTACGTATCATCATAGAACTTTAAGTGACTTAAATCCGAGATGTATTCAAACTTAAATATAAACAATAATGATATAGGTCCATTACAGACACAGCATGTTCCCAGAAGACGGATCCCACATATCTACTCCAGCTTTAAGGCGTCATTAAACCAGACTCGAGGCATAGTAAATATGTATTGTGTCATGGAACCGAATAGTTTCTGATATGCGCAGTTCTTTCCTGTCGCCGTATTTTGCATATTGAGATTAAACATTGAACAAAGCAGATAGAAGTTCAATGAATAATCACATGCTTCAACTCACATCGTGTCTCATTTCGCCAGTTTTCTGATATCATCAGAAACCCTTAAAGCCCCACCCTGACTATAAATAGCCCGCAAGGTGGCGGTGTTTCAGTTTCGAACAATGACTGACAATGTAAACACAACCGAGTGTCGGGAGACGTTTTTTGAAAACCATAAGGGAACGAGATCACCATTGACCGTCAAACTTCGTGTCAACTTGAATGACAAACCATGGATACAACAAATGGCTCCATATCAAGATATAAGTCAATAGATTTTCTGTAGTTTTATCATAAAAAATCGTATCGATCTTGTTTGGCGTCTGCATCAATCACAGTGGGCGGAGCTTATTTACGGTTGCGCTATAAATAGCAAAGCACATGGTCATGTGTACATGTGACACATTCAATGCATTTGTGGTCAAAGTGAATTGTGTTGCATATTTTTACGGCAGAACAGCAGCAGAACATCAGTTTCGGTTAATGTAACAGTAACGATATTTAAATACGAAATTGACGACGCGATTCTTTGAGTTCAATCCGAAAAATACAGATATTTGTTTAGTTTTGGTCATTTGCATTCAACAATTAGATTTGTGCCACACAATAATCAGTTTATATTTATAAAACCTAAATTATTACACAGATTTTTCAACTAGAAGTTGCGCCAATATTTCTCAGCTTGACTACAATAGATGAATATGTCACGTGTATCAACGTTAACATAACAATGCACATAAGCAACTGGTAAATAAGTAACGAAATATACTTGATGTTTTGACCTACTGAAGGCGTATCCAGATAATATTGTACTTACGATAAACGAAAACTCCAATACACATATTCCAAGACAACTTTAATTGTTAATTTCATAAGCACATGTAATGTGTGAATTGAAATTATAATTTCATTAATAAAACGAAGTAGATGTGATAGCGGTGTCTTCATCTTCTCATGCTAAAAAATAGGCCAAGTTCAAAGGTTACGATCTCGTGAAACGAGAGCGAGACCTAATTACCCATAAGCCCTTCTTCATTACGCCGAAGTGCTAAAAGAACAACTAAGAAAAGAGCTTCAATCAAACATTTATTTGGGATGTCCAAAATTAAGGTGACAAGTAACCCGAATGCGAACGCGAACTACAAAAACAGTCTCATCTGAGACTGCAACCGGACGGATAATCTTGGTCCAAGCTGGACATCTGGAATGTGGGAGTTTCAGCCAGGTCTCCTCCTAATGGCGTCCTCTGTAAAGAGATACAATTCAGTCAAAATACAAGCTAGGGAGGGAAATTCAAGGGTGGGGCTATCACATCTACTTCGTTTTATTAATGAAATTATAATTTCAATTCACACATTACATGTGCTTATGAAATTAACAATTTCACCACATAAAACTCCGTAGATGTGATAGCGGTGCTTTAAAGCTCTAGTTAAGTATTTTAAACTGGATTCCACATTCTTTAGTCTCCCTCAAGTAAAACTGCTTGAAAGTAGATGCTCTAGACCAGTTTCCCAGTTCTAAAATTTCAGTGATCGAAGCACCTTTAGTGTAAGCTTTTGATGTAGAAGCCCCCCGGACAGAGTGTGCTCTATACACTGTAACATTGATCCCTGCATCCTTCATCACATTAGTTACCCATCTAGCAACTGTAGCTGTGATATACAGGTTTGTGGGGTTTCACATAACTGAGTAATAACTTATCTCTATCCCCATCCTTTCTCCACAGGAGTGTGCGGTCAAGGTAGTCTCTGATACACTGCACTACACAGAGCAAAGGATTCTTAGGATAGGCTTGTATGGTCAACTTATGAGGTTCTGACCCAGGCTTAGAGACCTTTGTGGGCTTTGTCAAAAGAAAGACCACCTTGTCTCCCTTGTCAGATGTGAACTTTACGTTCATGGAAGTAAGTTCAGCTGCGCGACTTGCTGATGTAAGCATCAACAAAATAGCCAGTTTCTCTGTCAGATGCTTATCTGATAATTTACCATTTTCAGGCATATTACCAATATGGTCCAGGACCACGTCTACATTCCAAGTTTGGTGGTATCGAGGACATGGAGGTTTCTGATTGAAAATAGCTGTCATAAGTTTCTTGGTCAAAGGATGTTGACCAACTGGGTAGCCATGTATGTGGGGATGAAAAGCAGACAAAGCTGATCTGCTAGTGTTAACGGTTCTGTATTCAGATCCACTTTCATACATGTGGGTTAGATACTCTAGGATATGTTCCAAAGAGGCTGAAAAGGGATTGATTTGCCGTTCCACACACCAGCAAGACCACCTCTTCCAGGAGGAATTATAAGCTCCTTGCGTCCCTGGTCTCCACTGGTGTGACAAAAGCTCGGCAGTTTTTTGCGAAATGCCTCCTGAAGTGACCAGATTCCTGAAACCCTCCAGGCCGCTAATAGCAGCGTCCCGTTTGCTACCAGAGGGTGTGTTTGACCTTGTGGTGATTCCAGCAAGTCGGCCCACACTGGTAGAAGTATTGGACACTCCACTGACATCTCCAACAGGACAGGGTACCACGCCTGGCCCTGCCACACTGGAGTTATCAAGGTCAGTTCTGCCCTCTCCCTCCTTACTTTCCACAGACATCTCCCGATCATGGAGAACGGGGGAAAGGCATAACCTCTCGCCCCCTTCCATTCCAACCGAAATGCATCTATGTAAGTTGCCTGGGGATCTGGTCTCCAACTGACATACTTCTCCAGTTGATGTGATAGGCGGGATGCAAAAAGATCTATCAAATGAGGGCCAAGTCTCTGATTGCACTGGTTGAACACCTTGCGATTCAAGAGCCATTCGCTCGAATCTGCAAAATGGCGACTCTCCCAGTCTGCAATGATGTTCTCCTTGCCCGGTAGATACTGTGCTTCCAGAGTTATCTTTCTCTGGAGACAGAAGTCCCATATTTCTTTGGCTATTGTGACTAGAACATGAGACTTTGTCCCCCCCTGACGATTCACATAAGAGACTGCTGTGCGGTTGTCTACCTGGACCAGAAGGGACATGCCTGACTGACTTTGGCAGAAACACTGAAGAGCCAGTAGAACTGCTTTCAGTTCGAGAGCATTGATATGGAATTTGCTCTCCTCCAGACTCCACCGACCTCCAGTCCGGTCTTGATTGCAAACTGCCCCCCATCCCAGATTGGAAGCATCTGTTTGTAATATCAGATCTGGGTGGATTGCTGAAATGGGTTTGCCGTTGAAGGTCGACAGATTGTCTACCCACCAGTGAATTTCTTGCACACACTTCCTGGAAAGTTTGATCCTGTGTTCGTAGCTCTGGTGTTCCAATAGTTCCCGTGATGATTGCATTTGTAGGAACCGGCAGTGTAACTGGGCTGGAACAATAGCTCTCATTGATGCTGAAAGCTTTCCCAACAAAGTGGCCAGTGTTCGAATCTTTACCACTGGTAGCTTCAGTATCCTGTGACATCTTTGAAGGATGTCTGTCACTTTCTTCTGGGGAAGTGTTAGAGTGAGACACTGAGAATCTATCACGAAACCCAGGAAGTTGAGGTTCTGACACGGAACAAGAACTGATTTCTCTTTGTTGATAACGAAACCTAGGTTCTTCAAAAGATACAAGAGACTCTCTCGGCAACGAACTAGACTCTCTGGGCTGCGGGCAAAGAGAATCATATCGTCTAGGTATATGATCAACCGAATACCTGCTCTGCGTGCAATGCTTACCACAGGTTTCAGCAATTTGGTGAACGTCCGTGGAGCTGGCGCTAGGCCAAATGGAAGGCAGAGAAACTGAAACAATCGCCCTTTCCATTGAAAGCGGAGGATTTTCCTCTGGTACCTGGCAATTGGGATGCTGAAGTATGCATCCTTCAGGTCCAGTTTGCACATATAATCGTTTTCCTGAATGACATCCTTCAGGAGTGAAAGGCTTTCCATCTTGAAATGATTGTATGGAATGAAAGCATTCAGTTTTTTCACATTGAGTATTGGTCTCTGACCCCCGTCTTTTTTGGGAACTACGAACATGGGACTCAAAAACTGAGATTGAGAATCCTCCAGATTCACACCCGGAAGAATCTCTTCTATCGCCCCTTTCATCATCATGTTCCCAATCTCCTTGTCCAGTACAACCTGGTTCACCTGAGAAAGAGTTAACGGTGGAGGTGGTTTTCTCTGGATAGGCTTTTGAATGAATTTGATTTGAAAGCCCTGAACGGTCTGAAGAATCCATGGGTCTAGAGTAATTTTTGCCCAATTGGTGTAGAAATGTGTTATTCTGCCCCCCAAAATATTTTCCGGGAAAGGAATGCTTTCTAATTTTAGATCTTCTATTTCTGGTAACATACTGTCTGGATGTTCTGGATTTTGAGCATTCAGATTCAAGGGACTTGAACTTATGCTGCGCTTCACGGCATCGGTATTTGTTGAAAGAGAGTGATACAAACCTATATGGTCTTGAGGATCTTCCTCTTTTGCCACCACGGTCTTTCCCTCCTCTCCTGGGATTGAAGGATGCCTGAACTCTGAATCCGCCCCCAGACGAACTGGGCTTACCTGAGGGCTCTCCATGAAAGGGCTGCTGCGAGAAAGGCTGGTTTTAAAGAAATTAATCTTTTTCTTAGGAGCCGAATGCCGCCCACCAAGAATATCCCTGGCCTTTTGCTTACGCTTTACCTCAGCGAGTAGCGTGTTGTAAAAGGGGTCTCCGAAGAGCTTCCCTTTAGCATCAGCAAAGGTACCCTCATACTTGTAAAGCAACTTTTTGGCTTTCTTTGGATCCTTAACCAGTTTGGATAAAATTGAAAGCCGCCTGTGGAAATTGATCGACAAGTTAGCTTGTCCCACAAGGCAGACTGACTTTTCTACAATGTCAAGAAGTTCATAAATGTCTAAATCAGGTGAAGCCTCCCTGCGTCTGATTTTGTCAAGATTACCCCATAAATGGGACAAAGGACCCATGACATTTAACATTCTCTTTTGAATAAACTGCAAAGAGAAATCTGTTTTTTTCTCAAATGACCTGTCCCGCGCTTTAAAAAGATCATCTAAATACCCATCCAGTTGGGGAGCAGTCAAACAATGCTCATCAGGTATGGGGTGATCATCAAGAATGTTCTCATTCAACACATTATCTTTTTTGAAGGTAGAGAACTGAGTATTGAGATGATTAGACAGATGGCTTGGCAAGGACCAAGAATCTGATTCTGCCTGTGTGATCGAAAAGGGGACATATTCATCTACTGGTTCAGCTGAACCGGCCACAGTTACAGGACCATTTTCAGAGCGGGGTTTATCAAGTTTATTGATACAAACGTTTGAAAATCGACCTCTCTTTTGTGAGGGTTCGATATAGTCGTCCGCACCCGGCCCCGAAAACGTGCCAGGCGGATGATAACTATCAACCACATCGCACTCGTCACTATCAGTCGAACTGTCACTCGAACTTGACTCGCTCGAGTTAGACCAGTCTGAGATATCATGTTCAATCCTGTGGTTAATTCTCCTTTTTCTAGGAATCCTATAACCTTTAGGTAACTGATCTAGTTTGCCTGCGCTACTGACGCCCTGCGACGTACTCCGGTTAGTAGATATAACCTTCGGACCCACGTGGTCGTCATCATGGCTCGTACTGGCCAGATTTAAGGACACTTGACTGACTGCTCCACTTTCGGGAGGTTTGTCATGATCCCCTGAACCTTTGGAAGGTTGTTTGGGGATATTAGATTGAGTACTACTCATATTACTTTGTATATTCACCAAAAAAAATCTCCAGCGATATTCGTACGTGTTATTAGCATGAGGCCATGATGAAGAAGGGCTTATGGGTAATTAGGTCTCGCTCTCGTTTCACGAGATCGTAACCTTTGAACTTGGCCTATTTTTAGCATGAGAAGATGAAGACACCGCAATGACATCTACGGAGTTTTATGTGGTGAAATTATGAATTTCCTTTTCTTTCACAGAATTTTCACACACAAAAACTGAGTTTGATCATTAGATCCACACTTGTCCCATGTATTTTATGTTCGGGGTATTTGGATACACTTCGCGCACAAGTTTTAAAATATAATCTGGGATCCCTTTCCCGTTTTGTCCACACCGATCCTTCATCTGCTGCAACGTTTATTTCCGTTTCTTCAAGTCCAAGTATCTACGATCTCTCCAAACATTTCGTTTATTTAGCTCAGTCCAGAAGCAATGTGTTCGAATCGACGAATTTCTGCAACATGGTGGCCGCACCATTCCCTAACTGCGATTGCCTGTGCCGTGTCACGCATGGTTGACAAAAGAAATGTGAACGTACATATTCGGCTTCATCTGGTTCCACAATGAAATCTAGCTGTGACACTGATTCACTAATCCCAAGAATCGGCACTGAATTTATCAAAGTTTCTGTTGCACTTGCAAGGGCGGGAAGAGAGGCGCCATCTTGTCGATTCGAGTTGTGAATCGGAATGATGTCATCTTGAATTGGAACTTTCTCCACGATAAAGTCACCAATGTCATAATCGAAATTACCTAAGGCTCCCTGATTATCTCGAACAATTCTTCGTCAAATTAGGCTTCACATGAAAATGTTTTGTTGCTCATAATGAAGACAAGCGAAATTGCAAAGTTCTTGACAGTTGTAAGCAGCAACTCGATGCGCTCATGGGGCGTGGTTGCTAGGAGATCGCGTGGTCGGAAAGGCGAAAATAAAAAGTTTTAGAAAGTAATAAAAGAAATGCCCAGTGCAATCCAAAAGTACCATGTACAGGATATTTAAAAAAAAAAAATATTCACGAAAACAAATCTTTTCTAAAAATGCAAAATAATTTATTAATTTATCCCAAGGTCGTAACCCTGATCACGTGGTGGGTATTTGGAAGGAATCTTTGCGATGACGCCGTTAATGAGTGTGTATTACATTGTTGAAATCAGCTGCCCAGGAATGTTTAGGCATTGACATTATGACAGATGTTCGTCATGGATGGAGAGAAAAATGTATCTGAGAGAAACATTGTTGCTTTGAGCTTCGAGACAAAACATGTGTTAATGCCGAAGTAGCCAGCGACCTGAATGTAAGCTTGATGAAAGTAATGTTGAAACCCATTTTCACGCACATGACAGAATTATTGTGAACAAATATTTATCTGAACATCGTTTCGAAGTCTGTGAGGCTGTCCGTATTTGAATATTTTTATCTCCATTCCGACGTGAAATAATGTAATGTCTTCGTGTCTCAATTTTGCTGCCGCTGTGGAAAATTGCGCACCGATCTAATAAAAGAAATACTACTAGATCTACAATTGCACCGTCATAAAAGAACCAGGTCAACTTTATCTTTGTTCCGTTGTTTATTAAAAATTCGTTTCCGAAGCAAAGCGAATCGATCTACATCATAAATTAATTCATAGACTAGATTCTAGTACCAAGTGTTGAACCTTTTTTTAAAATGTCATCAAATAACTTACACAATTATTGAAAGACATGTTTTGATAAGTCATATATTTTATTTCGTCCGCCCGGTCTCTGATTAGTTGAGGCTTGAGGGGAGAAACACATACAAAAAATATGGATGGCCTTATGCAAATGACACTTGGCATGCCAATCAACAGGGATCTGGGTCACTGGGACCCGCCAAGTTTCACGGATCGAGTTACTTCGGCATGAGGAGCTTCATCGGACAAGTGAGACTTTGCCAAAATACATTGCTGCTGGGCAATGGAAAAAACGACAAGAAACTACTTTGATCACTTGAAAATATTTTTGACCATTACCAGGGTTTTTTACACGATCGTTGTCATCCAGATTCCAGATGAGGCAAGACGAACACAACGAAGAAAAACATTGTTGAAATCACTGATTACTGTATATATTGTGAGAAATGCTATTTATAAACTGCAGATATACCGCACACCACAGGATAGCGATTGGTGCCCCAACACATATTATGTTTCTTCATTTACACTGCTCATATGCATCACGACAAATGTATTTCGTTCTAGTCCAAAGATCTAGAACTAATTTGTGTGTTGGATAAATCGTGGACATTCCACGGTATCATTTTATGAAGATGTGAAGACTACATGGCAGGTAGGTTTTGAAACCAAAGACGTACGCGTTTGTTGAAAAGTCTTGGTATCGTTTGGTAGATATTTATATTACCATTAAAACTTACGTCCTTGTTGTCAAACGACCCACGTGGGTGGGTGTTTACATGACGTCACCCGTTTACGCATTAGCCAATGAAATGTATGTGTTATCATGACGTCATATTGACCTGTCAAATCACTTGTATAAGCTCCGCCCACTAGAGTGCAGTAGTTACTACCGCAGATGGGGCTTTAACTATCTCTTCATTTGATCTCCGCACAGTAATTGGAACATGTCACATAGCAGCGGTAATGTGACCTTCTGTTCATATGGTGGGTTATTTCTCACGAGCTACCACCAGAATTACGTCTACATTACGACCCATAATGCTATCACAGCCGGATCCAGGGGTCGGGATACTAAACGGTGCGCCTCGCCCTTCCGCCGTATTGTCACACACATACGTGAACTGCGCTCTCGACCAAGTCACTTCGTGACATGTGTGTCATGTACGCCCCGAATTTCACGATCCAGGATCCGCCTCTGGCTGCGTCTACATTCCTGCTGCCACACGGAGCGTCTGCCCACATAATATGTTGTAAAACATGTTCATACTCTTTATACGAGTTGTTTATATTATGATATCTACACACTGAAGATGGATTCAAAATCTCCCGAAAGCAATTTGTGTGTAGTGGTCGTTTTAGTTGAAATCAAACTACCAAATGAGTAGGTTATACAGTCGTAATGTGTTCACACTTAGTAGGCCCGTTCTCGCATAAAACCTCGAGGTGTATAAGCTGTTACAATGTTTAACAAAGTCCGTTCTCCTGGCTCGGGATACCAAATGTGTAATGGTAGCACTGCAATGAAACCCTTCTCTTATAAACTGGTCCCTTGTAAACCAATGTAACCCTAGTACCTTTAAAGCGCAACAGATTGTGTCACCTTTTAATCCCATAAGTATTGCTTGACAACTTAATTGTACCCCAACTTCCTGGCCATATAAGTCTAGTTTCCACCCTTGCCGAACAAGGCTTGCATTTCGGACTTACATTTTGGCTGGACTAACGACTCTATGCATAGTTCAATCAAAATCGCGCAACGAACTAGACATCCGGTTCGTAAACAACATAGATTTCAACGTGCAGATTTCTGTCGACTGAAGGATTTGCAAAGCATGTGTACCGCCAACTGGGCGTCGACAGATATTTTGCAAATCTTTTCATGTTTTAATCAAGGTGCTCAAGTGATTTGATGCTGAGGTAAGGCCCGTTTAATTGCAATATAGATCGTGACTATCGATCAGATGATCTTAACTAAGCGCCGACATTTTGTTTGAAGCAATTGCAAGTTATGGAAGAGGTGGACTCTGATTGGTCAATGGGGGGGGGGGGGGGGGGAGGAGACATAGAAGGGACATAACTCGTAATAGCCACTGGTGGCGCTACGATCGAGCTCAGAAATTCCAACGTTAAATTGTTAGTTAACTCCCTTGCCTCTGGAAGATGATTGTACCCTATCGGCATATACATTCAAGCATTTGCAGAAATTTATCACTCTGTTTTCTGCTTATGAAGCTCGAGGGTTTCCGTGAATCTTTATAACAATTCAACATAATGGTATTTTAAAATTTATGTTATGTCATTAATATTAAACAGTTAATAGTGATGTAACATGTTAAAATGGTAGTGTAGACCCTCGAAGATCCGGGTAAGAATAGATCTTCAGCAACCCATGCTTGTCGTGAGAGGCAACTAACGGGATCAGGTGGTCAGTCTCGCTGACTTGGTTGATGGATATCATCATATCCCAAGCGCGTGGGCCGATGCTCATGATGTCAATCACTGGAATGTCTGGTCCAGATTCGATTATTTATAGACCGCCATCATATAGCTGGAATATTGGTGAGTGCGGCGTTAAACAACAAACTCAAGAACAAACAAACATGGTAGTGTAAAAGCTGTCCTGGCATCGCTTAGTTATCGCTACATCGGAGCCGTCCCCTACTGATTTACCACTGATGCTCGTTAAATATACTCAAATTCAGTTCTGGATAGGTCGGGTTTTGTAGGGCCTTTTACTTAAAACAAAAGACTTTGCCAAAGACGTGTTTATAACCACATAGTGCAAGTATACCATACGTGATCCCTTGCTTTAAAACATTTCGAGTAAACATGTTAATTTTGAACTTGTCATCTTCCACGGGTCATGGGGTAACAGTGTCATCATCAATAGTGTTCGTGAAGTCGTCACGGAAGGCCATTACCATCAGATCACACTCAGTCATTTGAGAACAACCATGTTCCCGACTTTGTAATGTACACTATTCATTGAGCTTCTCTCATCGTACCTATGTACCTATTGTGGTGGGTTCGGGTAAAATCACACATACACAATGGCAGCTTGATAGTGTTACTTGAAAGTGGGTAAACAGGTGTATAAACGGCCCTTCATTCCTCTTGTTCAGCTATCCGAAGCATCGGGGTACTCGAATTCTTATAATGAAAGCCATCCATGGGGGTCCGGGTTAGAATTGGTCTTCAGCAATCCATGCGTGTTGTGAGAGGCACATCTGCACTTATTCGCAGCATACGTAATTAAAATTTAAGATGTCGTTTGTCTTTCAACAAAATCTTTTACGCCCAATAACAAAGGAATCTGTTTGGACAAATATTTAAATTATTCTCTGGCGCTGACGTTTCATATTTTGATTATGAAACAGTGTTTGTCGATATCATTAAGTCAGTGCTGGGACGTCTGAACTGGGTTCACATTTACTGGAAATAGTCTTGCAAACAAACACACATCTGGAAATATGTGGCAAACATTCAGCCATTACTTTTTTTGTTGACCTTTTATTAAGAGAATACCATGTACAACATGATGTCTAAACATATAACCTCAATACTCGGTACGCCCCAATACCCAAGCAATCGCGATACATATTGCACATTGTCAACTCTGCCTTGCTGGACAAAGATGAACACTGACACATTGTTCTCGTCAGCTGCATCCCGGATACTATAGTGTTATTGTGGAAGCAATAGATGCATCATTCTTTCATTTTAGTTCAAGCCAGTACAAGGCAATCATTGTTGTGACATTTGTCCATGCTTGGAGGAGTACACAAAACTGTAGACAAGCGTGTAATCAGGCGTCTCGTCTCGTCAGGACAGTATCTCTACTGTGTCGATCGGATCCTCGTTTCAACCCCCAAAACGTGTATGTATGAATGACATGTGTGTCTCCAACTCAAGATGGCCCTTACATTACATTACTGAAGGCATACAATAGTCAGGCAACCACGATACTGTCTCGTTTCAACAATCTTCTAAAGTCCTTTCTTGATCGTTCAAATCGTCTTCTTCTCTCATGCGATACTGTTCCCCGGGATTATGACCGGGGATGAAGGGGGGAGTGTTAGCCATGCATGCAGTTAAAGAGTTGGCTCTCGCGCTGAAGACCCGGGTCTGATCACCAACATGGGTACAACGAATGAAAACTATTCTGGGTGCCCCGATAAAGCTGGAATTTTGCTCAAACTCTTTCATTCATTTGGCAAATGCGTGCCTACCACTTTCATTCAGTCAGTACAACCAAATGGTTTGAAATGTTTAGAAACTTGGTCATTCACATCATTCAAATGAGGGAATGGTCATTTGAGGGAGAGTTGGCTGTCTCTTCTACCAGTAGTCAGTTGCTGTGATCGTCTTCTATGACTAGTGTCCGCTGCTGGACTCTCTAGTCCATCTCTTGTTGTCAGGTAGAAAACACCCCGTCCAGGCTACGTCTGTCGGTCACACCACAGGCCGGAGAGTGTTCCTGGTAGCAGCTCGTGCCGGCTTTGGCGACGTTGTGTGGCTGGTAGAACCAAGGACCACGGTGTACGGAATGCGCCAGGGGTCGTTATTGTACTTCAGTGGCACTACCAAATCTCCTGTATTCCGAGAAACACCAGCAGACTTCAAGAAGCGATGGTACGCATCATCAAGTTTGTAGAACTTTGAACTTTTTTCTTCCTTTTCGAGCCAAACGGAATCTTTCTTGAAGTCATATCCTGTCGGCAATCAACATAAATGTTGAGATGGCTTTCAATTGTTTATGTTACATTCTTAAGCATCTTTGAATATTATGTAAGTGATATAATATAGAATATGTCAATATCAAAACACTTTGGAGGCCGCTTATTGATCATTTAAAGAATGTGAGCACTAATTATTTAACCATCGTTTGAACTTAGTATAGCAACTGGAGAAGAAGTCATATCATTTGGATATATATATTGTTAGATCACAGCTACACTGTCAATAATATACATGTATGTAACTAATTGATAGTGGTAATGTTGATGCTAATAGTGATAGCTTTGGTGTTTGGTGCACTGTTGATGCTTACAGTGTAACCACCGAGCCATCAATCACTCTTTACGTATAATAATGCTCACCTGAGCTCTCCAGCAGCAGTAAACACTCAGTTGAGTGAAAGAACTGCGAGTGAATTGCTTCATACAGGGCACTGTGACCTCCATTGTCCATGACGTTAACGTCACACTTGTTCTTCATCAGGTATATCGCCGTCTTCTCGCTGCCTTCGTCAAGGGCGTAGAACAGGGCTGTTTTCCCTCTTGCGTCTCTCGCATCGATGCTGGCGCCTGTGTTAAGAGGACATGTTTGGAGGTTACAAACCGTGATTACCACACAAGCAAGATACATAACCAGCTCAGCTAAGACCTGCGTATACACCATGACCACGACATTGTTTTCAACGTGGATAAAAAGTAACTGAACAGAACTGTCTGTGACACAAAACGATACACTTGTAAGAATATACTACAGGGCAAAGGGGGGATAAACAACCATATTGGGTGGTGGCTAAACAAGAAATGGTTTTGGTCCTTAAGTTGACTTAAGTTTACAGTGTTTTGCGTGTGCGCGCGCGTGAGTGTGCGTGTGTGTCTCTCTGTGTGTGTGTGTACCACTCACCTTTGAGGTGAAGACATTTCATGATGTCCAGGTAGTCAAAGAAGGCCGCTTTCATCAAAGGCGTCTGTCCATCCCGGTTCTCAGCATCCAGTTTACATTTACCTGTGGAAGGGTGGCATTTCTTAGAATTACAAAACAACTACAATTTCCTCACTAAAACAAGTCTAGTGCTGATGTGTGGAGGGAGTTTGTCCATACATATAGGGAGGGAGTGAGTGAGTGGGTTGGGAGTGTGTTAGCTCTCTGTTTGATGGTTATCACAGGTGGAAGACATTTACCACTTCGAGGAGATACACGATGATGTCACGTAAAAATCATGACTGTATCACATGCATGTACGTGACAAATAGTGTTACACTATCAGAATACATATTTAGACACACCGTTAGAAAGTGAGAAACAGATGAGTGAAAGTGGGGGAATGATCGTTTAAAGAATAAAAAAACACAATTTCTGTTACAAATGTATATTGAAAGAACCCGCACCTGATTTTAGCAGTAATTGAACCATGGGTAAACTCGACTTCTCCGTTGCTTCATGTAAGGGTGTATCGCCATCATTGTTGGCAATATTTGGGTCACAGCCCAAGGCTAGCAACATCCGGGCTATCTCAACACGAGAGAAACATGTGGCGACAAATAAAGCCGTCCGGCCGCTCATGTCCTTTGCGCAGATGTCAGTGGAACTGTTGGCCAGTGCCTTCCTGATAGCCTCGATGTCGTTCTTGTAGGCATAATGGTGTAGTGGCAGCACTCTGGAGTTCTGTCTCGGGTTTGTTGATTTCTTTGTAGACGCCATCACAGCACAAGCTGAATAAAACAAGAATGTACGTGCTTTGTGTCATGTTACGAGTACCGAGGAACATTTGAGGGACATATCTACAATTATTTGTATCTTTGGTATTTTCATTTACAACATTAACCTATTACACTGTACTTGCCGCCACGCCACGTCACGCCACGCCACGTCACTCAACGCATCTACTATCAAGCTGTATTCACACGTCAGGGGAGACATGTTACAAAATGACACAGACTACATCTAACTCCAGCCCAAAGTTCATTTTTCATCTTAGAGAGTTAACTGGCAATAAAAGTCCAGTTTCCACCCTTGCCGAACTAGGCTGGTATTATGGAGTTACATTTTGGCTGGACTAACGAGTCTATGCTTAGTCTAATCAAAATCGCGCAACGAATTCGAAATCCGGTTCGTGAACTGTCGTGCAGACTGTATTTTCATGTTTTAATCAAGGTGTTCACGTGATTTGATGCATTTCGCGATGTAAGACCCGTTTTCTTACAATATATATCTTATCATTATCGATCAGATCTGACTGGGCGCCGCCATTTTGTTTTAAGCAAATGCGAGTGATACGAGAGGTGGAATCTGATTGGCCCATAGGAGAGGCATAGAAGGGACATAACTGGTGAAAGCCTCTGGTGGCGCTATGATCGAGCCCAGTGATTCCAGCCCAGTTCGGCAAGGGTCGAAACTGGACTTTTAAAGTCAGTCATCTCCCTTGCCTCGGGAAGGTGTCCACGGCGAGCCCGCCTCGTAACTACTTTATCTTAAACTACCTTGCTGAATTTGAAACCGTCCTACCATAACTATCTTATATCTTGTGACTGTGACAAAGGCAGTGTAGATGGTCGTGCTTCTTTAATTTGTTGGTGAAAGCCGAAATCTAAACGTCTTTAATACCCGCATCACTTCGGGCATCCTCTCAGATCAAGATGACACGCCCTGATATGAGTGGAAAACTTTAACCACTCTAACGCTTTAACCACTAGGCTACCCGACCGCCCGGGAGGTAAACTAATTATCGACTGTATACGGAATATTGAAATAACAATAAAACAAATCAGAGTGAAGGTACATTTACACTGTGTGCTTCAATTCGCATCGTGTCCCTTTTTTGTCAGTTTATGATAGAATTTGGAGGTCTGAATTTGCAAGGTACATTTGCTTTTTCACAATAATAGCGTGGTGTCGCGTTACAAGGAACACGCTGACTTGAATGACATATGGCGTTGCGCGTGGGTGTATTCATTTCTCACCAACTACGTGACAGCGCAAATATCCGAAGATATTGTATTACGAATACAAAATAATGTATATATTCTGATTCACTATCTTGTCCACATGCTAATTTATCTAAAATTTCCACATTCAATGACATCCACGTACGAATACGTATGTTGTCACGGTTCTGAAAGAAGGCACATTGCAAGAATCAATCCACAACGATATCACGTTGCCAAGCTACAGCATCAGTAATTAATTTACAACTCGGTGCAGTGCGGCTCCGCCCGGCTGGTGTCACCTTGATGACGTGTAAGAGACGGCTTTTTGCAATAGATCTGATTCATCTGCATCTAACACAACATTATGTCGGCACTTTTATATCTTGATAAGCAACAGTTTGTGAACCACAGTAGTGACTGCATGTGCCACAGTCAGGAAAGTATTCGAACCTAACCAAGTCGGTAGCGGAGATGGGTTGATATTCCACAATGAAGGTCAGCAATATGCTGGGGCAATGATACTGCCACGAAGTTCAAATTCAGGAATTCATGAAATTCATGAAAATTCAAATTACTAAAATGCAACATTTATTTAACCTAGCATCAAATAATCATGGTAAAGTATATTTGTAATACACCTTCAAAGCATTCTCTTTCGGTCAGGACTACTTTTGATTTTAGAATCTCATAAATTATTATCAAAGTATACGCAAGCTAAGAAGTGTCTGCCTGTGTGAGAAGCTTTCATAATCATACTTTAATTGGCCTTATTATATAAACATCCCACAATGACAGTCACAGTAGCAGGGCTGACCACCTCGGATGCACCCTTGATGTGATATCTCCTGCGTTACTCGGGGGTGTCGTGACAATGTCCCAGTGAATCGCAAGCCCTCCTCTGGGAACAATTGTCGAGATATATGATAGACGCTTCTAGCGGGATCGTGAGTAATAGTGGACCAGATAGTCGTCCTCCTTCTATACGATGTCTAGAAGTTTACACGGTAAGGCCGGTGAGTTATTTCGTTCAAAAGCAATTAATGACCATTATCAGGCAGAATCTTGGATTCGAACACGTGATCATCGGATCCTGGCATGACTAAGAGACACAACTCTGCACTGCGATATGACACCTAGCTTAGACGAGCCGGTCGTGGTCCTAAGATGAATGGTGAGGAACGGTAGATGACAGTCAGTCATTTTGAGATTTATGAAATATTTTGTCATATACTAGCAAGTTATGTGTTGGGTGATTGATGATGCTGACTGAGAAATGACAATATATTCAAATCGCCAAGGCCTTAGGAGTATTCCTATTTGTATCTATGTCACAATAAAAACATGATGAAAGTTTCACATTTATGAACCTACTCCCACAATCGTTGTAAAACTTATAGTGATGACAAAAGGTGTTCACGACTATTTGATACAGTCATCCATCAATTGCCGGGCTTGCCCGAGGGTCAGACAGATGTTGTGACACATTATTAGGTTACGAAAAATAACATGATCCCAGGAAATGCTTGTCAAAATATACTGGGCGGCAAAAGAAAGTATAGGTCGAGTTCCATGATCGATAAAAAAATAACAAGAAGAGGTTTTGTTGTGAATTAAAATATAATTTAGGGAGGGGTAACAAATGATTGATCAACCACAGTTTGAATGAAATTGTGCAATCACAGGTAATGTAAGCTCAAGGTAAACAATGGTGGGGTAAGAAATTCTATTTTCAAAGGTTGTCTGAAATGTCACCAAAAAATTGTCAGACACAGTTGCCTTCAATAGCGTGTATGACCTCCAGCTGCTTAAATGCATGCTGTGATATGCCGCCTCATCGATGACGTCAATCTTCTGATGTCGTGGACTGGAATCCGTTGCCACTGCTGCAATTCTTGTCTGTTGACGGGAGGCTGATGGCGTGTTCTAATCTGTCTGTCAAGATGGTCCCACAGATGTTCAATAGGATTCATATCGGGTGAGTGGGCAGGCCAGGGCAAAACGTCAACATTCTGCTGGTTTAAAAAGTTCCGAGTCAGTCTTGCAGTATGGGGCCTGGCATTGTCGTGTTGAAACAATGTCCCCTGCTGTTAGTTTTGTAAGAACGGAAGCACAACTGGCTGCAACATTTGGTCTCTATACTGCACTGCGTTCTGGTTTCCCTGTATAATCAACAAATCAGTCTTCTGATCTCCACAAATACCGCCCCACACCATTACACCTCCCCCGCCGAATGAATGGACCTCTCGAATACACGCCGGAGCCAAACGTTCCCCTCTGCGTCGATAAAACTCGTTCTCTGCCGTCATTTCGAAACAAGTTAAACCGACTTTCATCAGTAAACAGCACTCGACGCCAATTTCTCACTTACCAGCGTCGAACCTGCCTCGCCCATCGCAGTCTCAGGCGTCGATGTTGAACAGTTAGTACCATTCCTCGGAAAGGACGATACGCTCGGATTCCAGCAGCACGAAGTCACCGTAGTACTGTTCGTTGGCTAATGGGATGTCCCAACGCTGTTGCTGCCGTCGCCGTCGCCGTTACGAATCTGTTTCGCAGGTGAATGAGCCGTTTCTGACCGTCTTCCAGTGGTGTTGTCACTCGGGGTCGTCCGGTTCTAGGCCTGTCCTGTGTCCTCCCTGTCTGCCTGTACCGTTGAATCAGCCTGGCTTCTGTCAATGGTGTGCAACCAAACCTTCTGGCACTTTGGACCTGTGTTGCCCCCATTTCGGCCATACCGATGGCTCTCTCTCTCTGCTCCTGTGAAAGTAGTGGCATTTCTTTTGTGTTCTTTCATCACGTGTGGTTATACCCTGCAGACGAACGCATTTATACAGCTAACATGCACGTGCAGTTTATGCCATAGGCTGGAAACCTGTTTCACAGTTTTTTTGTCATCGAACGAGCGCCGTCAAAGGTGGCGCGTTCGGGTGAGGTGTTGTTTGGTACCTATTCCTTGGCAGTCATATTCCCAATACACACTTTCCACTAGTTATTGCTGTTTTTAGGAAAATTATAAAATTGCCAACCTATACTTTCTTTTGCCGCTTAGTATATAACTGTCAGCCTCCAAAATACATTATTGCATGAGGGGGCACGGGTGGCCCAGTCGTCTAAGGCGCCGCGATTCGCTGTGCAGAGAAACCTATGATTATGGGTTCGAATCCCGGTTCGCCCCGATTATGTTTCTAGGTTTGTCAGCACCATACCCGTGCTCGTGGGTTTCACCGAAGTGGTAAACGTCTGAGACCTGCATCACTTCGGGCTTTCCTCCCACATTAAGCTGACACGCCGTGATATAACTGGAATACTGTTAAAAGCGGCGTTAAACCCAACTCACTCACTCACTCACTCATTATTGCATGATGGTGCTTTTAAAGTCTTTTTAGGCTTATAGTTTGTAGATGTAGCTGAACATATAGCTGGTCTTGATACAAAATCCCAGCCGCCCCAGTCTCAACGGTGTAACAGAAATATGATCATCTTTAGAAACTCACTTCTTAAAAGTACCTTGCCAGAATATAGGACATGGCGACGCTCAATTGGGCTTTAATGTGAACACGTGAATCATGTAGAGGACATATTTGCCAGTAACCATAGAAACAACAGCCAAACTGCGTTCAATAACCCGGGAGGAAGATGTGTATCTCCAAGCACAGACTTTACGACTTGACAGATGCTTTAAGGTCTGCTTTTAAAATGTAGCCACGTGTATGTACCCCCACTGCATCCACTCAGCCTCGAGGCGAGATTAACCTTCCGGTCGCCTCGTGTGAGACTATGACACT